ACATAGCGGCCGTAAGACTCTTCCCACGATGATGAAAATTCCATATTTCCGTTCAGGACAGAAACGATTGGGCCCAATTTCCTTTCACCTGATGCTTCACTTCACCTAGCAGTAAAATAGACACCCGGGAGTTAGGCCACTGTTGTGGGTGAGTATCCTGGGAAGGTCGGTATGTTGTTATTTTAAGATTTGGAACTTTTTGTTCCAGGTTGCACCGGCTATGGTGAGCCCGTAGTGGAAGGTCGGTAACTACAGCCTACGGGGGTCATAGATAATCTTCGAGATATCCCGTCCCCGACAATCCTAATTATCCCATTTTGAGTCTCTCTAAAGCAATAGGTCGCGTTTTTTTACGTACTAGTGATCAACGTTGTAAGTGCATCCTCCTATACGAAAAGTAACGGCCGGTTGGTGGGTTGGTTGGGTTCGTCCGGTTCTGGTGAGACTAGCAGGTCTGATTTTGTACGGAGTGGAAAGTTGAATGAACGGACTTGTGCGAGGCGGGGAAGTATTGTTGGGTTATCAGCCATCGAGGTGTTACCTACAGGGAATTAATTGCAGCCGGGGTAGTAAATAAAGCAATTCGTACCTACCTCGGTACTAATCACTAAGTATACTTAAAGTTGGAGGGCTTAATATCCCACTAATAGTTACTAAGCAATGTTGCAGGGTCCTGCAACAACTCCCTGCTAGGCAATATACCGATTATGCATTAATAGGCTATTTCAAGGTATTATTGTGTAAGCGTTGCATCGATACTTATATTTTCAGCCCAACATGTAGTGGTGTGATACCAGGCGACACAGGAAGGTAAACAAGAGCAAGAGAGCTGGGCAGAGGGCTGGATGGAGAGTCCTCGAGTCACTCTACTGTGTCGCTCTCACTCTCCCTAGTGTCGCTCAAGGAAGTAAAAGCGCAATAAATACATTGTGTATAGTGAAATCAAAACGATATTGTGTGAACTGTGCTTGTAAAAAAAAGGCTCACATAATGAGGATTCGTTGTACTCTAGACGAACTGCTCTACGAACGCCACTCACTGCACTAACAGTACTTCTTTACGAACGCCAGTGGCTTTAACTGAAAATCCTTCCGAGTATTTAACCTACAGTTCTCCTGGACCATTTCCCGAACGTTACTCCTCTTACTAACCCCGGTCACCCTCCCTTATGAGACCCCCGCTCTCCGTGTAGGTCTGGAGGACAGCGTCCCGCTCTTCATGGCACCGGACACCTTCATGGACGCAACTCTAACAGTTCTGCCGTCTATCCGAACCAACGGGCCAGAAACGCCGCCTCTACGCAAACCCCCTTCCGCTCACGAAGGGCTTCTCCACCACTAGGACGGGACCTACACATCGTCTAACGGAAGGCTCCACTGTCAACAAATCAACAAAACAAGGGAACACACACACACACGGCATCTGCGAGGTGGACTGAGCACACACACACACACACGGCATCTGCGAGGTGGACTGAGCACACACACACACACGGCATCTGCGAGGTGGACTGAGCACACACACACACACACATATGGTCTGTGCCTGGAGTGAGATAGTGTAGGAGTCCCTCTCACCAAGTACTGAGCACCTCCAGGACCCATGATCGGTCCTCAGGGATCCAGCACCCTGACTCCTGCATCTTACTAATGTAAGTAAGCCATATATTTTTTTAAAGTTGGTCTCAGGTTGTCCCAGCTTAACGATGCATCAAGCATATAGCGTTCTCGCGACAACCTCTTCCAGCACATGTTGGTCCCCCATGCACCGAGGACAGTGGTTGTGGAGGCAGGTTGTCCTTGTGCCTCTCACCGTGTACTCGTATAGAAAGATTGGAGTTATTGTAGCGTTCTATTTGCAACTCTCGTGTTTCCCTCTGAAGGCCTGGCCATCAGAGGGGCACTGCGACTTAGTCTGATGCTGAATCAATTTAAAGTTAATTAATTATGGCTTGTGTTTAAAAGTTTTTCTAGGGACACGATGATATTAAGAACAAGATGTTAACTAGAACATTTAATTACAAGACAAAATAATACAAAACTACACTTGCAAATTTATATTAACTCTACAACACCGTGTTAGTAATATGCCGCTCCAGTCAACAAGAGAGTAGGGTGTAGGACACAAACCATATATTCACCACACACACACACACACACACACACACACACACACACACACACACACACACACACACATTTACCTCAGGTTGTGGTAATTACTGGTGGCGTGTCACTAAACATGTGGCTATAAGTAACCTCTCCAAGTCACTCTTAAGTATTCCTACACCTAAATACTACTTCACAAGTCAACTGATGCCTTATAAATAATAAGAAACCTGGCTGGATATATACAAGAAAAACCCGAGAGGCAGGAGACTCAAGTAATACCGGGCGTGTCCCACCACCAGCCACCTCCTATAACACACCTCCAATACTGCCGTATACACCCGGCTGGCTGGCTGCCTGGCGGCGTCCACTCCATCCACCTCATTATATTAACTCAGTTATGAAATCTTAATTTGACTTATTACATCCGATGATCGTCATCTCGGTAACACGTTTACATTGAAACATTTAATCTTTGAGAGAGAGAGAGAGCAGTAGTAGCAACAAATAACGCCACGTTACAAAGTGCCGTAAGGGAGGTACACATTATTATGTGGACACTCAGCTCAGACGGTCAAGACATGTGGCAAGAGCTCAAGCTGTTGCCACATGTGACCGGTCCCGTCTTGACCGTTGGCCTCGACAGGCATTACTCCTCAACATAACCCCGCCATTTCCACTAGCTCCTATTACAACACTCACATACCGTTCAAATCTAACACCGTAACAAAACACAAACACGTCAACTGTGTGTGTGTGGGTGTATGTGTGTGTGTGTGTGTGTGTGTGTGTGTGTGTACTCACCTAGTTGTACTCACCTAGTTGTGTCTGCAGGATCGAGCATTGACTCTTGGATCCCGCCTTTCGAGCATCGGTTGTTTACAGCAATGACTCCTGTCCCATTTCCCTATCATACCTGGTTTTAAAATTATGAATAGTATTTGCTTCCACAACCTGTTCCTGAAGTGCATTCCATTTTCCCACTACTCTCACACTAAAAGAAAACTTCCTAATATCCCTGTGACTCATCTGAGTTTCAAGCTTCCATCCATGTCCCCTCGTTCTGTTACTATTCGGTGTGAACATTTCGTCTGTGTCTACCCTGTCAATCCCTCTGAGTATCTTATACGTTCCTATCATGTCCCCCCTCTCCCTTCTTCTTTCTAGTGTCGTAAGGCACAGTTTCCTCAGGCGCTCCTCATACCCCATCCCTGTGTACTCACCTATTTGTGCCTGCAGGATCGAGCATTGACTCTTGGATCCCGCCTTTCTAGCCATCGGTTGTTTATAGCAATGACTCCTGTCCTATTTCCCTATCATATCTAGTTTTAAAATTATGAATAGAGTTTGCTTCCACAACCTGCTCCTTAAGTGCATTCCATTTTTCCACTACTCTCACGCTAAAAGAAAACTTCCTAACATCTCTGTGACTCATCTGAGTTTCCAGCTTCCACCCATGTCCCCTCGTTCTGTTAGTATTCCGTGTGAACATTTCGTCTATTTCCACTCTGTCAATCCCCCTGAGTATTTTATATGTTCCTATCATATCCCCCCCCCCCTCTCCCTTCTTTTTTCTAGTGTCGTCAGGTTCAGTTCCTTCAGGCGCTCTTCATACCCCATCCCTCGTAACTCTGGGACGAGCCTCGTCGCAAACTTCTGAACCTTTTCCAGTTTCCTTATGTGTTTCTTCAGGTGGGGACTCCATGATGGGGCGGCATACTCTAAGACTGGTCTCACGTAGGCAGTGTAAAGCGCCCTAAATGCCTCCTTACTTAGGTTTCTGAATGATGTTCTAACTTTTGCCAGTGTAGAGTACGCTGCTGTCGTTATCCTATTTATATGTGCCTCAGGAGTTAGATTAGGTGTTACGTCCACTCCCAGGTCTCTTTCTCGAATCGTCACAGGTAGGCAGTTCCCCTTCATTGTGTACTGTCCCTTTGGTCTCCTATCACCTAATCCCATTTCCATAACTTTACATTTGCTCGTGTTGAACTCCAGTAGCCATTTCTCTGACCATCTCTGCAACCTGTTCAAGTCCTCTTGGAGGATCCTACAATCCTCATCTGTCACAACTCTTCTCATTAATTTTGCGTCATCCGCGAACATCGACATATAGGATTCTACTCCTGTAAACATGTCATTAACGTATATTAGAAATAGAACTGGTCCCAGCACCGATCCTTGAGGTACTCCACTCGTTACTGTTCGCCAGTCCGACTTCTCGCCCCTTACCGTTACTCTCTGGCTCCTTCCTGTTAGGTAGTTCCTTACCCATGCTAGGACCTTTCCGCTTACTCCCGCCTGCCTCTCAAGTTTTAATGAATACTGTATCACAAGTCTCAGTTTGTGTGGTACTGTATCAAAGGCTTTTTGGCAGTCCATGTTGGTGTGTCTACAAAATATGCAGTCTGCCCATCCTTCCCTGTCCTGCCTTATTCTTGTTACTTTATCATAGAATTCCAGAAGGACTCATTGTTAGGCATGATTGGTTTCCTTCCCTGAACCCATGTTATAACAAGTGGGAGCTGAGACTTTCCGGTGGGAGGACGGGCATGTTTTGCCAGCGGGCCTTTATTGTTATTGTTATTACCCTCCGTCACGCATGATGCCCACCAGATGTGTGTGTGTTGTTCCCTATTGCCGTGGGGGGCGGCGGCCCCTGGAGGGGGGCGTGGGCCCCTGTTGATGGGAGAGAGAGAGAGACAGAGAGAGATACTCAAGGGCTGATCCTCGAGCGCTAGGTGTAGAAGCTCCCCGCGCCCTTTGTGTCACAGGACATCCACATATTAAGCCATGTGTGTGGAGTCCGCCTCCACTCCTTCACACCCCTCTGTCACTCCACTTGTTCCCTCCTACACTCACCCACACGGTCTTGAGGGGGGGGGTATCTTCATGCTTCACTCACGGTATGTGTGTATGGGGCGGCCGGATATAGTTGCTAGTTGGTGGTAGAGGAGGTGGTAGTGGTGGCGATGCTGGTGGTGGTGGCGGTGCTGGTGGTGGTGGCGGTGCTGGTGGTAGTGATGATGGTGGTGGAAACATTGATCTTGAGGACGAAGGATTAAAGGTCAGGGACTGAATCCGGCTCCCGACACCTGGCTCCCGACACCCGGCTCCCGACACCTGGCTCCCGACACCCGGCTCCCGACACCTGACACCTGGCTCCCGACATCTGGTTCCCGACACCTGGCTCCTAACACCCGGTTCTTATCGACATAACTGGGATATTGGTCGTTCATCATCACTGCTGGGATATTGGTCGTTCACCGTACAAAGCCAGTTGAAACAAACTCGTTACACTCCGTACTATTATAATAAGATGCAAAGGAGTCGGGAATCACACATACACACACACACACACACACACACACACACACACACACACACACACACACACACACACACACACACATACACACACACATACACACACACACACACACACACACACACACACACACACACACACACATACACACACACACACACATACACACACACACACACACACACATACACACACACACACACACACACACACACACACACACACACACACACACACACACACACCCACACACACACACACACACACACACACACACACACACACTAGGAAGTTTAACAAGCCAATTCAACACACGATTTTAAATTTAAATACGAAAAATAAAAACAGAGAAGAAGAAAGCCTTTACACAGACCTCCTGACCATCAAAGGCGGAGCTTAGCAACTGAAGCTCAACCCCGCCAAGCCCACCTAGGTGAAGGCACCATTCTGTCGCTAAATAAGTGCAAAACAACAAATACACCCCCTACCCCCCCCCCCACCCCTCTCTACCTCAATGTATGATCATACTTCATAGGATCAATTCTATAGTATGACTGCCGAGTTCCTTGTCCGAAACTCGGGAAGGAATCACACCGCTCGGAATCGTTAACCGGTTGAGGGCCCCCCACCCCCCCAACCTAGAGGTTCTTCCATAACCAATATTGATTTTCCTTACTAGCTACAAAGAAACAAGAAAAAACAAATAGTTTCGGGTTACAGGTAAAATTTTGGTCACAGGTAAAATGTCTTAAGGTCATTGGCGATGTCATTTTGCTTCCTGTTATATGGGTCACACTAGTGACTGTATGGGTCACACTGGTTACTGTATGGGTCACACTGGTTACTGTATGGGTCACACTGGTTACTGTATGGGTCACACTGGTGACTGTATGGGTCACACTGGTGACTGTATGGGTCACACTGGTTACTGTATGGGTCACACTGGTGACTGTATGGTCACACTAGTTACTGTATGGGTCACACTGGTGACTGTATGGTCACACTAGTTACTGTATGGGTCACACTGGTTACTGTATGGGTCACACTGGTTACTGTATGGGTCACACTGGTTACTGTATGGGTCACACTGGTTACTGTATGGGTCACACTGGTGACTGTATGGGTCACACTGGTTACTGTATGGGTCACACTGGTGACTGTATGGGTCACACTGGTTACTGTATGGGTCACACTGGTTACTGTATGGGTCACACTGGTTACTGTATGGGTCACACTGGTGACTGTATGGGTCACACTGGTTACTGTATGGGTCACACTGGTGACTGTATGGGTCACACTGGTTACTGTATGGGTCACACTGGTTACTGTATGGGTCACACTAGTGACTGTATGGGTCACACTGGTTACTGTATGGGTCACACTGGTTACTGTATGGGTCACACTGGTTACTGTATGGGTCACACTGGTGACTGTATGGGTCACACTGGTTACTGTATGGGTCACACTGGTTACTGTATGGGTCACACTGGTTACTGTATGGGTCACACTGGTGACTGTATGGGTCACACTGGTTACTGTATGGGTCACACTGGTGACTGTATGGGTCACACTGGTTACTGTATGGGTCACACTGGTTACTGTATGGGTCACACTAGTGACTGTATGGGTCACACTGGTGACTGTATGGGTCACACTGGTGACTGTATGGGTCACACTGGTTACTGTATGGGTCACACTGGTTACTGTATGGGTCACACTGGTTACTGTATGGGTCACACTGGTGACTGTATGGGTCACACTGGTTACTGTATGGGTCACACTGGTGACTGTATGGGTCACACTGGTTACTGTATGGGTCACACTGGTTACTGTATGGGTCACACTGGTTACTGTATGGGTCACACTGGTGACTGTATGGGTCACACTGGTTACTGTATGGGTCACACTGGTGACTGTATGGGTCACACTGGTGACTGTATGGGTCACACTGGTGACTGTATGGGTCACACTGGTGACTGTATGGGTCACACTGGTGACTGTATGGGTCACACTGGTTACTGTATGGGTCACACTGGTTACTGTATGGGTCACACTAGTGACTGTATGGGTCACACTGGTTACTGTATGGGTCACACTGGTTACTGTATGGGTCACACTGGTTACTGTATGGTCACACTAGTTACTGTATGGGTCACACTGGTTACTGTATGGGTCACACTGGTTACTGTATGGGTCACACTAGTGACTGTATGGGTCACACTGGTTACTGTATAGGTCACACTGGTTACTGTATGGGTCACACTGGTTACTGTATGGGTCACACTGGTGACTGTATGGGTCACACTGGTGACTGTATGGGTCACACTGGTTACTGTATGGGTCACACTGGTTACTGTATGGGTCACACTGGTTACTGTATGGGTCACACTGGTGACTGTATGGGTCACACTGGTGACTGTATGGGTCACACTGGTGACTGTATGGGTCACACTGGTTACTGTATGGGTCACACTGGTTACTGTATGGGTCACACTGGTTACTGTATGGGTCACACTGGTTACTGTATGGGTCACACTGGTGACTGTATGGGTCACACTGGTTACTGTATGGGTCACACTGGTTACTGTATGGGTCACACTGGTGACTGTATGGGTCACACTGGTGACTGTATGGGTCACACTGGTGACTGTATGGGTCACACTGGTGACTGTATGGGTCACACTGGTGACTGTATGGGTCACACTGGTTACTGTATGGGTCACACTGGTTACTGTATGGGTCACACTGGTTACTGTATGGGTCACACTAGTGACTGTATGGGTCACACTGGTTACTGTATGGGTCACACTGGTTACTGTATGGGTCACACTGGTGACTGTATAGGTCACACTGGTTACTGTATGGGTCACACTGGTTACTGTATGGGTCACACTGGTGACTGTATGGGTCACACTGGTTACTGTATGGGTCACACTGGTTACTGTATGGGTCACACTGGTGACTGTATGGGTCACACTGGTTACTGTATGGGTCACACTGGTTACTGTATGGGTCACACTGGTTACTGTATGGGTCACACTGATGACTGTATGGGTCACACTGGTTACTGTATGGGTCACACTGGTGACTGTATGAGTTACACTGATGACTGTATGGGTCACACTGGTTACTGTATGGGTCACACTGGTGACTGTATGGGTCACACTAATGTATGGATGTAGTAATATACAACAATGGTAAAAATTAAGCATTAACCTTTAGTAATAATAATACAATCACCATCAGCAAAGTAACAGTAGCACCAACAGCTGTAGAGGAACAAGTAACAGTAGCACCAACAGCTGTAGAGGAACAAGTAACAGTAGCACCAACAGCTGTAGAGGAACAAGTAACAGTAGCACCAACAGCTGTAGAGGAACAAGTAACAGTAGCATCAACAGCTGTAGAAGAACAAGTAACAGTAGCACCAACAGCTGTAGAGGAACAAGTAACAGTAGCACCAACAGCTGTAGAGGAACAAGTAACAGTAGCACCAACAGCTGTAGAAGAACAAGTAACAGTAGCACCAACAGCTGTAGAAGAACAAGTAACAGTAGCACCAACAGCTGTAGAGGAACAAGTAACAGTAGCACCAACAGCTGTAGAGGAACAAGTAACAGTAGCACCAACAGCTGTAGAAGAACAAGTAACAGTAGCACCAACAGCTGTAGAAGAACAAGTAACAGTAGCACCAACAGCTGTAAGAGAACAAGTAACAGTAGCATCAACAGCTGTAGAAGAACAAGTAACAGTAGCACCAACAGCTGTAGAAGAACAAGTAACAGTAGCACCAACAGCTGTAGAAGAACAAGTAACAGTAACACCAACAGCTGTAGAAGAACAAGTAACAGTAGCACCAACAGCTGTAGAAGAACAAGTAACAGTAGCACCAACAGCTGTAGAAGAACAAGTAACAGTAGCACCAACAGCTGTAGAAGAACAAGTAACAGTAGCACCAACAGCTGTAGAGGAACAAGTAACAGTAGCACCAACAGCTGTAGAAGAACAAGTAACAGTAGCACCAACAGCTGTAGAAGAACAAGTAACAGTAACACCAACAGCTGTAGAAGAACAAGTAACAGTAGCACCAACAGCTGTAGAAGAACAAGTAACAGTAGCACCAACAGCTGTAGAAGAACAAGTAACAGTAGCACCAACAGCTGTAGAAGAACAAGTAACAGTAGCACCAACAGCTGTAAAAGAACAAGTAACAGTAACACCAACAGCTGTAAAAGAACAAGTAACAGTAACACCAACAGCTGTAAAAGAACAAGTAACAGTAGCACCAACAGCTGTAGAAGAACAAGTAACAGTAACACCAACAGCTGTAGAAGAACAAGTAACATTAGCACCAACAGCTGTAGAAGAACAAGTAACAGTAACACCAACAACTGTAAAAGAACAAGTAACAGTAGCACCAACAGCTGTAGAAGAACAAGTAACAGTAGCATCAACAGCTGTAGAAGAACAAGTAACAGTAGCATCAACAGCTGTAGAAGAACAAGTAACAGTAGCACCAACAGCTGTAGAAGAACAAGTAACAGTAGCACCAACAGCTGTAAAAGAACAAGTAACAGTAACACCAACAGCTGTAAAAGAACAAGTAACAGTAGCACCAACAGCTGTAGAAGAACAAGTAACAGTAGCACCAACAGCTGTAGAAGAACAAGTAACAGTAGCACCAACAGCTGTAACAGAACAAGTAACAGTAGCACCAACAGCTGTAGAAGAACAAGTAACAGTAGCACCAACAGCTGTAGAAGAACAAGTAACAGTAGCACCAACAGCTGTAGAAGAACAAGTAACAGTAGCATCAACAGCTGTAGAAGAACAAGTAACAGTAGCATCAACAGCTGTAGAAGAACAAGTAACAGTAGCATCAACAGCTGTAGAACAAGTAACAGTAGCATCAACAGCTGTAACAGAACAAGTAACAGTAGCATCAACAGCTGTAGAAGGACAAGTAACAGTAGCACCAACAGCTGTAGAAGAACAAGTAACAGTAGCACCAACAGCTGTAGAAGAACAAGTAACAGTAGCACCAACAGCTGTAGAAGAACAAGTAACAGTAGCACCAACAGCTGTAGAAGAACAAGTAACAGTAGCACCAACAGCTGTAGAAGAACAAGTAACAGTAGCATCAACAGCTGTAAAAGAACAAGTAACAGTAGCATCAACAGCTGTAGAAGAACAAGTAACAGTAGCACCAACAGCTGTAGAAGAACAAGTAACAGTAGCACCAAGAGCTGTAAACGAACAAGTAACAGTAGCACCAACAGCTGTAAACGAACAAGTAACAGTAGCACCAACAGTTGTAGAAGAAGCATCATAAGAAGTAACATCAGAAACAACAAAAGTAACAGAAGCAACAGCAGTAGACACGACAGGGAACGTAGCAGGAGCAGCAATAAAAGCCGGCGTGCAGCAGCACCCAGCAGGGAGCAGGAACATCAAGGAGCAGCAGCAGCAGCTTAAGCCAACCGCGCATTTTAAATCGAAAATACAATTTACATTTTTTCTCCCTTTCTGGTTCAAGTTATTTTTGGCTGAGCCGTTGAACCTGGCTTTATATTGCGGTGATGCTCTGCCTCTCTGTCTGTCTCTCTCTCATATATATATATATATATATATATATATATTATATATATATATATATATATATATATATATATATATATATATATTATATATATATATATATATATATATATATATTATATATATATATATATTATATATATATATATATATATATATATATATATATATATATATATATATATATATATATATATATATATATATATATATATATATATATATTGGAGGGATAGGCATACGAAAGGCAACTGAGGTAGCACTTCCAGCATTCTTATCCTCATGTACAGCAGCCAACGAATTGGTAGGGCAGATCCTACCAGAGCGTATGAGAGAGACAGCGGGAACTCATGATCAAACGTTCATCGAAGCAGCCAGACAATGGGACACCATTGCACACCCTCAACCCCGACCACAAGTCCCAAAAGACCACAAGCAGGCCCACTGGGATAGCCCCATAATGGAAAAGACTGTCACAGCAATGATTGACAACGCTGATGCTGAAAACAAAGCCCGCCTCCTAGCGGTAACAGCACCCCACGCCGGGATTTTTATTTGCTGTGCCCAATGCAGCCCTGGGAACTCGCCTCAGTCATGACGCTCTCCGCATTGGAGTTGCCCTTCGCCTTGCCGCCCCCATCCTCACCGAACATAGGTGCATCTGCGGAACTGCGATGGCAGACCAATATGGTCGTCATGGTCTGGTATGTCGTAAATCACAGGGTAAAATTGCAAGACATGAAGAAGTCAACGACATCATCAGAGGAGCCTCGCCACAGCCCGCTGCCCGGCACAAAGAGAACCACACTTATCCAGACCGAACGACCCTCAGAAGCGCCCTGATGGGGTCACCTTGCTACCTTGGAAGGATGGTAAGCAAGTGGTATGGGACTGCACGTGCGCTGCCACACTGGCCAGTACCTACCTCCACTACAGCACACGTGAAAGCGGTGGTGCTGCTTCTTTCATGGAATCGCAGAAAATTATTAAATACAGAGGTCTAGCACACTGCTACAGCTTTGTTCCGATCGGCTCGGAGACCCTCGGTTCGTGGGGAAAATGTGCATTGAAGTTCCTGAAGGAGTTGGGGGACAAATTGATCAGCGCTACAAAAGACCAGAGAGCAAAAAGTTTCTTGTTCCAGCGCCTCAGTGTTGCGATTCAGAGGGGAAATGCCTGTTGCGTCTTGGGCACTAGTCCAACTTCAGAGGAATTCGAAGAAGTGTTTGACTTGCAACAATGATCGAACCCGTCTGTGACATTCATCAATGTTTCCCATTGTTGTGTTCTTCAAGAGATCCATAACCTTTAAGCACCTTTTTGCATTATTATTTTTGTATCAACCCATGTATATCTTGTAACCATCAAATGCATAATAAAGCACAAAAATATTCAAGGAAGGGGGTGGTAGGAGAAAAGCACACAGAAACTGTATTGATATATATATATATATATATATATATATATATATATATATATATATATATATATATATATATATATATATATAATATATATATATATATATATATATAATCTTTTAAGGAGAGATCTGTTTTCTTGCCTGATAATATTTCAAACTCTGACGCTAGTATTTGCTATATTATAAACCATTTATATAGGTGGTATACTTGATTTATTATTTGTTAAGACTCAAAATACATGAAGATAGAGTCATCTGGGACCCAGAGCTTCCATCTGCTCACTTGACTTGATATATTTAATAATTGTACGATGTTAGAATAGCTGACAGATGATGGCTGACCGTCTTGAGTTACAAACCCGCCTCCTCCTGCTTGTCGACCAAGTTTGGACTGGTTGACGACCTTCGTACTTAACAGGAAGGTCAACGGAAACCATATGAGTTGGTACAGTGCTACCTCGTATGGGTTAAAATGCTTTCTACAGTTTCCTTAACTCTTTTAGAACTCTTTTTAGTGATAAAAAAAGCCTCTGTTGAAATGCCAGGCTCAGCTAGGGTGACCCTCGAGGGTCCAGAGGTTTTCTACTTTTATTCTCGATTTAATGTACAGAGGAAGCGAAGCAGGATGTCAAGGAAATATGAAAACAGGTGGACCCTACAAGAGATATGTAGATATTATGGGTAGTGGGTCTTTTAATACATTTAGATATGATGGGTTGTGGGTCTTTTAATACATTTAGATAAGATGGGTAGTGGGTCCTTTAATACATTTAGATATGATGGGTAGTGGGCCCTTTAATATATTTAGATATTATGGGTTGTGGGTCTTTTAATACATTTAGATATGATGGATAGTGGACCCTCCAAGACATGGTAGATATGATGGGTAGTGGGCCCAAGACACATGAAAATATGATTGGTAATAGGCTCTCCAAGAGAGCGAAAACAGGCTTAACTCATTCCTCCAACTCTAAAACACTTTTCACCATCTCCTCAACACTCTTCGCCAATGTCTGCCTTTCCTCACCACCCTCAAATCTCCCCCTCCCTCACCAACTCATGCAGAAAAAACCTGAGAGAGGCTTTTTACAGTTGGCTCCCACAACACAATTGGAAAGTCATTAAGCGAAGTGTTAACTTTGTCAACGAGAGAGAGAGAGAGAGAGAGAGAGAGAGAGAGAGAGAGAGAGAGAGAGAGAGAGAGAGAGAGAGAGAGAGAGAGAGAGAGAGAGAGAGAGACGCACAAACGCTCAGTACTTACAATATCTATCCCACCTGTTCATTAGACTTGATGAACAATAACACTGCTGTATCTTACAATGTAGTATGTAATATCCCCTGTATTTTTAAACATTGACCCATAACAATGCGATACAAGTACCCCTGGGAAGAACAGAGAGCTAGTAACAGTATTACTCAAAATATTAATAAAAAAAAACAAAAGTTTGGAAGAAAGAGATATATGGCCCAACTTGCAATATTTCAAACATAAAAGCAATACCAAACGAAATAATGAAATTCAAGATATCTTGCAATATTTGGACCGAACTTTAAAAAGCGGTGCCATTATGAAAACGATATCATTCCATATGCACAGTTTCGTTTATTGCAATCGCCTGGGGGGAGAGAGAGAGAGAGAGAGAGAGAGAGAGAGAGAGAGAGAGAGAGAGAGAGAGAGAGAGAGAGAGAGAGAGAGAGAGAGAGAGAGAGAGAGAGAGAGAGAGAGAGAGAGAGAGAGAGAGAGAGAGAGAGAGAGAGAGAGAGAGAGAGAGAGAGAGAGAGAGAGAGAGAGAGAGAGAGAGAGAGAGACAGAGAGAGAGAGAGAGAGAGAGAGAGAGAGAGAGAGAGAGAGAGAGAGAGAGAGAGAGAGAGAGAGAGAGAGAGAGAGAGAGAGAGAGAGAGAGAGAGAGAGAGAGAGAGAGAGAGAGAGAGAGAGAGAGAGAGAGAGAGAGAGAGAGAGAGAGAGAGAGAGAGAGAGAGAGAGAGAGAGAGAGAGAGAGAGAGAGAGAGAGAGAGAGAGAGAGAGAGAGAGAGAGAGAGAGAGAGAGAGAGAGAGACAGAGAGAGAGACCGAACAATGTTTAATAAAGAAATCGCTGGAACAACACTATCAGCTCTATCCCCCCCCCCCCCCCCGCTGAAGACAGTCTGCAATATCAGCGGAAGACGATGACTCAAGGAACGTTATTACAGCCAGATAACGACAGCAGCAATAAGATAATGTTTGTTCAGGCAAAAAAAAAAAAGTACATATATTCAAAATGAGTTACGAACATAATGTTGGCTGTCTAGGAAGAGCTAGAACATACTATGCCTAAAACCACTAATATGCATAGCCTTACGGGCCAAAGGAATGGAAGTATATGAGTCTATGACATTCTACCTTCAATCTCAATCTTTCTCTACCTATCTCTCCTCCAGGCACACACACACACACACACACACACACACACACACACACACACACACACACACACACACACACACACACACACACACACACAAGGCATGTCCGCGCACACACACACACACCACACATGCCCGCACGCACACACAACACACGCACCAAACACTTGGGACAACTCTGACATCAGCTGGAAGATCACCCCCAAGTTTTCCTTCACCTGCCTCAAGGAAACTGAAAATAAAGAAGGTGCGCGCGGGAACGTTTGGGAATTATGCAAATCCGACGTGAACACCCCCCCCCCCCTGAGTCGTTCTCTGGATCCGACCAACTAGTCTCCACAACCCCCAACACCATCATTTCCAAATGTATTCATATGTTTGTGGACATATTTCATAGTTTGCGTCGGATTCTATGCCCGGGAGAGGAGAGATAGTAGTCGGTGGTTTGGGGGGTGGGGGAGGAAGTGGGAATGGAAGGGGGGTGGGGAGTGGGAGGGCTGAGAGCTAGGAGTGGCAAAGGAAAAGGTTGGTAAGGGATGTCTTAGAAGGGAGAGAGAGTTTGGAAAGGGGAATGTCAGAGAATGAGGAAAGGAGGGGGGAATGAGATGGTGTGAGAGGAGGATTGAATGAGTGGAAGAGAAAGTTAGAGAGGAGGATTAATAGGGGAAGAGGGGGGGAGGAAGGTTGAGAAGGATGAAAAGATACAAGGAAAAAGAATGGAGGCGCATGAGAAAATTAGAAAGGCCAGGAGGGAGGGTCAACAAGGCCAGGGAAGGGTCAGAAAGGCCAGGGAAGGGTCAGCTAGGCCAGGGAAGGGTCAGCCAGGCCAGGGAAGGGTCAGGAAGGCCAGGAAGGAGGGTCAGCCAGGCCAGGGGAGGGTCAGCCAGGCCAGGGAAGGGTCAGGAA